GGCGTGGAGTGAACATCTCGACTGCGGAGTGAATATTCGTTAATTACGCTGTAGATATATACGATTTTGCTTTGAATCTCTCTCGGAAGCTCTTGAAAGAGAAAGTCTGTCCAATTCTCAGGGAAAAAACAGTCTCATTCCGTTGATAAGTGTATTCTGGTGTATTTTGTCCGTAATCACTTGCATCCTGTTTGCAACTGACCGAGAAAAGTCGGCACAGAAACGCTTTGTTCAATGCTTTAATCATGAAAAGCACTGGAAGTAAGACCCGCGGTTCGCCGAAAATTTTGAATTCACCGTGAAATCAGTGCAACTAGTGCTAATAGGTACTGATATGCATAGCTGTGATATACTCATAAAATACTAGGAGCTTCTTCAGAATAGCCGGCCACGGTGTTTAAACACAGTGAGCTTATTTTGTTTTGTCATTCAGTATTGCAAGATGTTTACTTGCTAGCTGTAATAAGAGAATCGAAGGAAGTTGAGGGGGGCATCTTTTCAAGGACTTGTTTCTCTGTTGGCATTAAGTCTGCCTTTCGTTTTGCTCAACATCTGTATTTATCATAACATGAAGACAAGTAAATAAAGTAGAGAGTATTTGTGTACAGTGAACTTGTGTCCCCTTGTGTATCTATTGAAAAATAAAGCATATAACCTGCGAAATTTCTTGACCTTCGCCGCCATCTTGAAAATTTTGAATCCACAATGCATCGCAATCGTAGTGCGCACACCACCTGAAGTGGGACGAACCTTGTGATTTTTTTAGGATCCCTTTGCGCGAAAACTAATTTATTCTGTCGCGAAATGAAGATTAAGAAAATGTATCTGAAATCTAATACACGACAAGAAAATGTTCGCACTTTCGAGGAGCGCGACATATTAAATGGGATCAAGTCAGGTTAGCCGCCCGCGAAGAAAACATCTCTGCGTGGGATTGTACTTCCAGTAAAAAGACTCTGTGTCCTCTAATGTTTATCGTTAGTCAAATTCTCTCGTCGTCAGTCTTGCTTGAGTCCGTTTGTAATAAGTCGTTTGTGCGGTGCCGGTAATTGTTGACTACGATTCAGTGGCGTTTGCTGTAAGTTAGTAAACCACCTTTTGCGTTGATAGTAGTCTGTAGAATGCGTAATACACTACGTCGCAGAGTCCCAGTCGATTTGATGCAGTTTCGTCTGTAAATGGTGTTCAGCAATATGATTGTTACCAAACTAGTGCCTTTTGATGTGAAATAACTGTTCACCAGTATTCCACTATTAAAGGGACAGGTTCACGGTTCAGCTCATGCTCATTAATTAAATTACGTTTTTCCAATTTATAATCAATTTTATCGGTTAACTAGTAATAGTTGACACTACAGCTCCCCCGCTCTGTATATAGCATTCTTGCTCCTTGTGTAGCTCTTCGAAATATACCGATTCATGATGAAGATGTTCACCCATATTCCATGCAATAGGTGAGATAAATACAGGAACTTAATAAACGCAAGGTTCCATGCACAGTTTCGGTTCGATTTACACAGCTTTGATCAAAACATTCTCAGTTTCAAGAATAGTTTATTCTAAACCATAAGAAAAGATTTAATTAGAAGTTTAATTTTTCGCTATTTCCATTTCACTTTTTGCATTTAGTTCATTTCTTTTCCCGGAAAGTAAGCTTTAGACACTAAAAACGGCTGTGTAGCAGACTAAGTTTGTCTAGGCCTCAAAAACTTTCTCGGACCACGTGACCCGAAACGCATCGGCCGCGCATAATAATGAGGCCTAGGGACTAGGCAACGTCATCCTAACCATTTCGTACTTGCGGACGCAATCAATAGAAACGTCATCATTACCTACCGATACCTTGCGGCTCCTGTTCAAGCAAATCGAGATTTTTTCTATATTGACTGTGTGACTGTATATTTCAACTGTAAGTACTTTCCTTAATATACGCGCGAGTTACAAGTCTAAGAGTGCCTCCGCGGGATCTCGCCTTCTGGGCGAAATCCCTGCGGGGGCAATAATCCCACTCACATATATCTCAGCGATCTCAGAGTGTATTTCAAAGAAGTGTATTTCAGAGTGACCTGAAGTGGGATGGAGGAGTAGTAAAATCACAGAAAAATTAGTGGATTATGACAACACTACCAACGTTGAATTTAATGTTGACCCAAGGGTTTTATTGCGTGGTTAATTGATTTACAGCTATTTGCACCTCATGATCAAGTGACTACCAGGGGAGTGTGCAGATTGGTTCTTTGCTTTAGTAGACGATACAGCATGTTCCGGCAGAAAAATAGCATTTTGATTAACGAGCATCCGCTGAACCGTGAACCTGTCCCTTTAAGAACTCACCAGTTGAACTACCACTACCTACAGACGACATTTATGTACCTATTCAACCTCTATCTAACGTCGAATTACTTTAATTTCATTACAACGGCAAAAACCACAAACAGTTACACAGCACAGCTATGGGCTCTCCATTTTTTTTCTTTCACTTCCCACTTTATTTTATCCACGGTCGAGCATTTCAGGATATTTATTTTTTACATCGTAATTCCACGAAATGTTTCTGAATTGATTTAGTACGCGTGTTAGCGACGACCGGAATTGCGTCATTGCCAGAGATAAAAAACGTGATGAGAACATGGGGCATTATTTCAATCATCGCCGAAAATAGACCGTATGCTCATCACAAGACTCATTTGCATACAATAAAAGTTTACAACACCCGACCAGTTAGTATTTTGCTAATTAAGGGCGCGTTCCTTTGGGATGATCCGGATCAGAATCAGTAGATCCAGGATCACTCGGATCGTGGTAGATCAAATGAACGTGGATTCATCGGTTCATTTGATCTACCATGATCCGAGTGATCTCGGATCACTGATCCTGATCTGGATCATCTCAAAGGAACGCAACCTAAGATTCTGGTTTTTTTTTTTTTTTGTTTTTTTTGTTTTGTTTTGTTTTTTTTTTTTCGACCACCGAAGTGTTCTCTCTCTTTAAAGTAATCAACGCTTTCAAGCGACCAAATTTGAGGACAGACCCGTTCCGGAAAAGCTCTAAACCGAAGCTTTCTTCGCAAAACATTCCTGGCTTCGGCCACGTAACGATTCTTATCCCCAGTTTCCAAGGTTTCCTCTAGGAACGCCTGGGACCACAGCTGTCGTTTTGTGTACTAAATACGACGAAAAAAAAAACGGCTTGTAGATTATGAGGCTTTTAGAGTCTGGCTGCCTATGCAAGCGAGACTAATAACAAACCCAAGCTACTTGTAGGCGAAGTATTAATACGTCTTTGGCTACGCCACGTTGACGACACCTTTACTGGTGTACACAAAGACATCATGAACACCTTCACAGACAGAACGCGGACACACAGTTTACCAAGGAGATCGAGTAAAATGCTAAAAGTACCTTTTCTAGACTAGTCTTAGACTGCTCGGTCACTCGCCACAAGAACAGACTACGAGCGAAAATTACAGTAAACCGACACATACCGAAAGATTAGACCAGGCATCGTACAACCCAACATCTCAAAGGCTACAACTATACGAGACTTTGACGAGACGAACGCAGCTAGTTTGCCAGTCGTCTGAAAGCCTACGAGACTTTTTATCTAAACAGCCTTTTTGTAGTAAAAACAACTACAACGCAGACTTCAATTCGTTAGACGTACGAAACACTCACAGTGACGCTGATTCCAACACTCAGACCAACGTTAACTCTGGCCTCACATGACATGGTACGACAAAACCGACAATGTTTAAGGGAGAAAATAATATAATCCAGCATTCATGTTTGAATATGAAAAAGGAAATAATAAGACCATGAAATAGGCATGGTCTAAACTATGTTTTTTTACTAATAAACTAATAAAATGAGGTGAATAAATATCATAGTATAAACTGGTGCTAATAATTCATTTTCGGTATACTCCTTTCTGTTTTGTTTTTCAGATGGCAAAGGAACACGTTTTACTTTGATAACTGTAGTTCCACACCAGTAAAAGTCGATGAAGATGTCCTTAAAAATATAACAGTAGCGTCGTGGCGCAACAATAATACATGTCGTTGCTTCTCAGTTGAAAAAGGGAGGAACGGGGATATTTTTTTGCACAGAAGAAACTGCTCCAGAAACCTTTGGTATATTTGTGAACAGAGTATGTATAAAAAGCAATCTGTTTTAAGCAAGTTTTAATTAACAGCCTCTAGGATAAAGATCTATATTTAAAGTAACTACTCGATTTTTTTTCCTGAAATGAAAATCTTTGGTTCGTTATTGGTGTCAGAAATTTAAGAGGCAAATTTTCACTTCTTAACTTTCTTTTAGTGACGCCGTTCAGAACAAGCACACCACTTTCTACAACGATATCAGCTGAAACAACGTCACTGTCTGTTTCAACAACACTGACTAAGGTGGCATCAGCCTCGATAACACCCAAACCTCTGCCAGGTAAAACCGAACTTCCGTCTTTAATTTTCCGAAAGTGCGTATCTAGGATGATAAAGGATATAGGATAAAGGGTAAAGGATAAAGATCTATACTGAAAGTAACTAGTCGATATTTTTTTTCCCCGAAATTAAAATCTTTGGTTCGTTATATATTGGTGTCAGAAATTTAAGAGGTAAATTTTCATTTATAAACTTTCTTTTAGTGACGCCATTTAGAACAAGCACGCCACTTTCTATAATGATATCAGCTGGAACAACGTCACTGTCTGTTTCAACAATACTGACTACAATGACATCAGCCTCGATAACACCCAAGCCACTGCCAGGTAAAACCGAACTTCCGTCTTTAATTTTCCGAAAGTGCGTATCTAGGATGATAAAGGATATAGGATAAAGGGTAAAGGATAAAGATCTATACTGAAAGTAACTAGTCGATATTTTTTTTCCCCGAAATTAAAATCTTTGGTTCGTTATATATTGGTGTCAGAAATTTAAGAGGTAAATTTTCATTTATAAACTTTCTTTTAGTGACGCCATTTAGAACAAGCACGCCACTTTCTACAATGATATCAGCTGGAACAACGTCACTGTCTGTTTCAACAATACTGACTACAATGACATCAGCCTCGATAACACCCAAGCCACTGCCAGGTAAAACCGAACTTCCGTCTTTAATTTTCCGAAAGTGCTTATCTAGGATAAAGGATATAGGATAAAGATCCATACTTAAAGTAACTACTCGATATTTTTTTTTTTCCTGCAATTAAAATCTTTGGTTCGTTACACTGGTGTCAGAAATAAATTTTCGTTTATAAACTTTCTGTTAGTGACGTCATTTAGAACAAGCACACCACTTTCTACAATGATATCAGCTGGAACAACGTCACCGTCTGTTTCAACGACACTGACTACGATGACATCAGCCTCGATAACACCCAAACTACTGCCAGGTAAGGACCAAACTTCCGTCTTTAATTTTCCGAAAGTGCGTATCTAGGATGATAAAGGATAAAGGATAAAGATCTATGCTCAAAGTAAGTAGTCGATATTTTTTTTCCTGAAAATTAAAATCTTTGGTTCGTTATATATTGTTGTCAGAAATTTAAGAGGTAAATTTTCACTTATTAACTTTCTTTTAGTGACGCCGTTTAGAACAAGCACACCACTTTCTACAATGATATCAGCTGGAACAACGTCACTGTCTGTTTCAACAACACTGACTACGATGACATCAGCCTCGATAACATCCAAACCACTGCCAGGTAAAACCGAACTTTCGTCTTTAATGTTCCAGATTGAAAGTGCGTATCTGAAAGTGTGTATTTGGTAGACAATCAAATTAAAAGCAGCATTGAGGCAGTATTAGCAACTTTGTCTACACATTCTATTACAGCCTCTCCCACCAAGAGCTCAACGCCGAAATCGAACGCTGAAGAGAAAGTGAGTCTTTTTTTGATATATATAAAAAGTAGTTAGTTTAATAGGACTGATTTGCTTCTTGTTCGCGTTAATTTATACAACATCACCAGCTAATTTTGCCTGCGTGGAGACGTCTCCTATTTCCTTTGTTTCCGCGCGCAACAAAGGAAATAGGAGACGTCTGCACGCAGGCAACTGCTAATTCGAACCAAGAAGTACGTGGGCAGGTCTCCATTTGAAGAGCGTTTATACAAAAAAAACTCCCTTTCTCTACCTCGCCCTGGGGAGCGAGGTTAGTATTTTTCATATTTAGCTTTTAGCAGTCAAACACTTTCCACTCCTCCACAGCAGAGGGATATATAAGCCTGCTCGTTTATCCAAAGTTTAAATATTTCTACATTATAAAGGTCAGGGTCTTATTAACAATTATTCCTGGAGCCCAGGGTCGGGGAAGGAGGTGTCTCCAAGGAAATCTGTGGTAGAATCCGCCTGCCAGTATGACGTCACTTCTCGCGTCAGTGACTTTCAAAATGGCGAGCAAAGTCTTCATCAAAGAGACGGATAAAACATCTCGATTTTATAACGGAAATACTGTTCCGATTTCTTGGATTTGGAGATTTTAAGGGTTTTATTGTCATAGAAAACTAAACTTTAGTACTTTTTTGGAATGAAATGTCCAGTGGTGTGATGAGTTTTAAAGATTCCTTTCTATCGTCGAGCAAATTTTACGGGCAATCATACCGACCGGTCACAGTTTTGAGAGCCAGTGCACAGCAAGATTGAGGAGTTTATATTAGACACAGCAATAGGAGGTTCATCAAAGGATGCATTACACTTTACATTGTGCGTGTTTTCAGCTCTTCAGAGCTAGTGGAACCCCATATCAGTCCTCTCAAAGTTTGCTTAGCTGTAGCGTTGAAAGAGGAAGCTAAATGACATGTATTTGTGAGAGACTGTGAGCACTGACTCTTGTTGCTTTACCGCATTTTAATACTGTATTGGGCATACACCTGTATTTCTGTAATTAAATCCCGAAAAACAATAAAAGGTCTCGTTTAATTGTTGGAGAGTTTAGGGTATAATGATTAAGACGATTAAGACGGTTGTACAAAAGGCAAGGTTAACTTTCGCCAGTGGGTCACTGGTGGGTGTTGGATGTAAGTTAGTACAGTTTGTGGTGTACTGTGTGTTGTTTGTCATGATGTCAACTAACATTGAAAAAAATTCAGCTGTTTCAGAGGAGGGACATGTCTTGACAGCTTATGGTTTTTTTTCTGGTCGTAAGCTTGGCCAGTATGCAGATCAAGAGCTTTAGAAATCCCTTTTCCAAAATAAAACTTCGGACGTAAGCTTAAAATATATATTGATCTAAAAGTATGACCAGCAGGGTCAGCAGTAAGAATAAAGAAAAAAAGGCCAAAAGGAAAAATAGTGTTAAAAAAGAGACCAAACAGGACAAAAAAAAAAAAAAAAAAAAACGGTACAAAGAAACAGAAAACTGCGTCTGCGGGAATCGAACCCGGTTTATCTGCACGTGCAGGCAACTCCTTGACCACTGCACCACAGTGACAGACATGATTTGAAAAATTAATTTTGTCACATCAAGAGCCATATGGCTCTTGGTCAAATAAAAATAATTTTTCTCTGCCATAGACTCTGTTTGAAGCTGGTGGAGCTGTACTTATTATGAGTTCAAACATACATTTGAGGGAAACTAGCTTGAGCGCGTATTTCAAAGCTAATTTTTGCATTATTTCGGGTTCATCGGGCCGACTTGATGTGGATAATCGATCGAACTAGCTTTACTGAATTTGGTGGAGAATTGGGAGAGCTTAGGAGATCAACAGAGGCCACACGTGAAAGGAGTGATATGAAGTTAGGCCCGTTTAATTAGTAAAAGAATAGATGAAATATAAACATGTGTGATTTGTGAATGGAACCTCCTATTCTGTAGACTAAACCTTGCCTATTTTAGAGAAAAAGAAATTAAGTCTTGTCCTGTGAAATAGATGGCGATCCCGCAACAGGGCCCTCAAAACAAATTAACAAAATTATACAATCATGAACACAAAACATCAAAACGGTTTTCACACCTTCGATCAAATAAGCGCTATATAGCGATATTTTCTAGCTTCTTAGCTTTTCCTCGACGTCGCTTGTCCAAATAACTGCCGTATCCCTTGCTAATTTGCACAAGCGACCCGAGGCTCTTGCCCGTTACTATGTGACGTCATACTGGCAGGCGGAGTGGGTCAAGAAACTTAGGTGGAAAACAATAGAGTTACCTTCTCCCCCGGCCTGCTCGAGCCCGAACGGGCTCGCTCTGAGTCAATAGACCATGAGGCCGAAGGCCGAGTGGGCTATTGACTAACAGTCCATGAGGCTAGCAAAACGCGATTCAGCCGCCATTGTTTTGGTTTTCAAAGCCGGCGCTTTTCGCTACTAGTGGGCTGTAACATATAGCCTAGTAGTAGCTCAACCAATCAGAAAACAGCATTGATAATAACCACTAGTTGGATTTTACTAAAAGGTATTATTAGTCAAGACAAAAATGCTTAGCTTAAAGATTTCATAGTCGATTCCTTAATGTTAATGTTGTGGCAGTTCGACCAATGGAAAAAGCGGATGAAGGACCTCAATGTCAGGAAGAAAGACTCCTTACAGGTAAAACCCTTTTCATGTCTCCCAGAAATTACTGAATCTCTTTTCACATTAATATATGAGTGATGTGTAACACTTGCTTTCGTACCAGAAGTAATATTCGGATGAAGCAAGCAAAATCAGTCTTTTGAAGAATGCAAGTATTTCACCCCGTTTTGGGAAAGGACCAGGTTAAGTCTTGAAATGTGTTTTGTCAACATCAGACTTAAGTGCGAGGTCAGCACTGTAAGTTGAAAGAAGGAGGGTGAGGGGAGAAGAGGAAACATTACATAAATACAAACAAACATACATGCAAACATACAACCACCATACTGCGATATAAAGTACAGTCGAATCCCGGTAACTCGAACCCTCTATAACTCGACGAACCTCCCGCTAACTCTAAGTAATTTTCATTTCCCTTCAGATCGTTTTCTATGTAATTTTACCCTCGATAACTCGAACTCCCGATAACTTGAACTTTTTTTCTATTTCCCTTGAAGGTTTGAATTATCGGGAGTCAACTGTATCACCTTCGCATTGGTTAACGAGTTTTAAGAAAATTAAGCATAAAAAATGCGAGATTTCTGGGCTTTTTTGTACCGAAAACCTGCCAAACAGCACCAAATTACTGAAACAAGGTAAATTATAGCAAATTGAACTTTTTCAACACTCAGACTTAACATCATTGAAATATGTTATTTAGCAATTATTCCTCGAGCCCGAATGGCCTCTGAGTCAATAGCCTATGAGGCCGATTGACTCAGAGTCCATGAGGGCGAGAGGAATAATTGTTTTAGTAAAACCCAACTAGTTGGTCAAAAATATCGGGGCAAAACAACTTTGGCTAGCAAAACGAGATTCAGCCGCCATTGTTTTGGTTTTCAAAGGTGGCGCTTTTCGCTACTAGTGGGGTATAACATTTAGCCTAGTGCGGTTCAACCAATCAGAACGCAGCATTGATAATAGACCACCAGTTGGATTTTACTAACAGTAAGGGAAATATACCATCAAATCGATCGTATAAAGCCTACGTCTTCCAAATATGCCAGGCGCTGTCTTATAATGAAAAATTAGCCGGGGAATTTCAGCAAATCAGAAACAGAGAATTACTGTGTTTAGTAAAATCCAACTAGTGGTCTATTATCAATGCTGCGTTCTGATTGGTTGAGCTACTACTAGGCTACATGTTATAGCCCTCTAATTGCAAAAAGCGCCGGCTTTGAAAACCAAACTAATGGCGGATGAATCGCGTTTTGCTAGCCAAAGAGGTTTTGTCTCGATATTTTTGACCAACTAGCTGGATTTTACCAAAACAATTATTCCTCTCGCCCTCATGGACTCTGAGTCAATAGCCCATTCGGGCTCTAGGAATAATGTTAAATATACAATCGCAACTTTGTCTCCAGGCAGTGGCGTGGCAGCCTAAATGTTTCAGCACGTGTGAACTCAAAAAAAATGGTGGAAGGATTTGAGGCTATCCGAGGACGAAAACCCCTGACCGAAAATACTGACTAGAACTGAACGAAACCCTTGAAAACGCAAAAAAAAAAAAATGGATGGATGACACATTCTTTTTGAGGATCGAGTAGTACAAAGGAAAGACGTCTGTTCATATATGAAACTGTGCCGAGAAAGAGGCGAATATTTTTAATAGAAAACCCACTGGTAAACAAGGGTGTTAAGAACTTAAAATATTTTGAGTTAATAAAAAAAAAAATTATGGAACTAAGTTTCGTATAATGTGAAGAATTATGTAGATCTCAGAAGCTGTTAGTGGCCACCCTCGTCGATCTACCTAATTCTTAATATCATCCTCAACCTCTCATTCAGTAAGGCGGTTAATTATATATACTCTAATAATATTTCATATGTAACTCTTCACATTATAAGAAACCTAATTCCATAATTGTTTTATTATTAATTCAAAATATTTTTCTTTTCTCCTCGATTGGGAAGATGTTGAATCTACATGCTACTAAAAAGTTACCATCTTATGATAGCGCGCGCGATCTTGGTGGGGTGTTTGTAGATTTTTTCAATGACAAGGTGCGAGACATACGTAACAGCTTTTCTTCAACCGTCGTCTCATATCGTAAAAAAAATCCCGTTCTTCTACGGAGCTTAATGAGTTCTCTCCAACATCTACTCTTGAACTCTCGCCTCTTCTCAAGACCATGTGTGGGAAATCTTGTATTTTGGATCCCATTTCTGACCGCGGTTTAATGAAAGATCATTGCACCATTTTGTTACCCGTTATTGTAAGCATAATTAACCTGCCTTCATGGAAGCTGTTTTAGATCCAATAACTATACTTTAGAAGGAATCACTCGACCATGAGGTCCCTAAAAATTTCAGACCCATCTCAGATCTCAGATCTC